ATAATTAAATTGAATTAAAAATAAATAAATATCTATCTAATGGGAAATATTTGAATACAAGAGTTCAAAAAGTCACTTAAAAACAGCTTTTAATATTAATAATTTCTGATTCATGTACAGAAAGTATATTTTCTGCTTTTAGATTTATTTCTTCTAAAATAAGAAATTGCACCAGGCGTGGTGGCACAGGCCTGTAATCCCAGCACTCGGGAGGCTGACGCAGGAGGATCACTGAAAGTTCGAGACCAGCCTGGGCTATAAAGTGAGCTCAAGGCCAGCTTGAACTGCATAGCAAGACCTTGTCTCAAAAAGACCAAAAAAAAAAAGAAAAAAACAAGAAAAAAACAAGAAACTGCTAGAGTTTACAAAAAGCAGAAAAATTTTCTTTCCTGCTTATAAACAAAAAATAGAAAGTGGATAATAAATTAAAATTTAAGTTTCTAATATCAACTTGCTGAAACAGTGAAATAAGCAAAACAATTTATATTTTATTCTTAAAAACAAAAAGTTATTAAATAAACTGAATCTAGCTTTCACTATTTTTTTTTTTTTTTTTTTTTGCAGTACCAGGAATCGAACTCAGGACCTTGTACTTGCCAGGCAGGCGCTTATGCCACTGAGCTATATCCCCAGCCCCAGCTTTCACTATTAACATAATTATGCATAAATATTTGTTGCTGGAGAAAAATGCCAGGTGTATATACTTGCTCTATGTTTGCTGCTTTGAGGGTGTGGCTGATAACACTGAAGTACTCAGCATCCATTTCCTTCTATAAGGTGTCGTCATAATATACGGTAAACGTTTAAAATTCATTACAGTAAAAGACATATTACCACCAAACTGCTTGGGAATACTTCCCCTGACTTTGAACACACCGATCACAGCATCCTAGCCACTTTGGGAAGCACTTCTGGAAGTCCTCTTTCATGAGTGTCTTCATAAGGTGCAATAAAAAGATATGGTCAATACTGCTGTCAAGTGCCATCTAACTAAAAGCGAGGCTTGTAAAACATGACAGCATATCCTCATCCACCTTATTAACTGGATCTGATACTGTAACACTTCTGGATGTTCCCTGAAGGCAAAGTGACCATGAAAGGTTATTGTTTTGAATACACAAGGCACCCACAATAGTGCAAGTAAGGACACTCATGAAAGAGGACTTCCAGAACTGCTTTAGAAAGTGGCAAGAATGATGGGGTAAGTGCATTCAAAGCGAGGGGAGTATTTGGAGGGTGATCAATGGCAATATGTCTTTTATTGTTATAAAAATATTTTTAAATTTAAACATTCACTGTATTTTTTAGTCATACCTAATAAACTCTGTGTCATTGGAAATGGCTTAAATTTTCCCAGTAGTTTTACATGTACCTGCTTTAATTAACTTTGTTAATAATTACAAAAGCTTACAGTATCAAAATGAGTAGTATATTGATACAGTTTACTGCCAGTGATGATCTAATCCAATAAAATTCCTTTGAAAAGCAATTTATCAATGGGATATAAATAATAAAATTATATAAGCCTTTAATCATTAGCACTTTAACAGAAAAAGAAAAATCATGAGGCTTATTCCAGGATTAACTAAACTATTAAGAACCAGAAACAAAGGAGGACTGATTGGCAAAAAGTCTAAGTGAAAATGCTAAGGGAAACAGGTATATACACAAGTTCTTTGACATAAAAGATGTGTGCGCATAAGGCCAATGAAAATGTCAAAGTACTAGGCAAGCTTTTTCAAACTTGTTAAAACTGTTGGTTTGCTTTTTTGTTTTTTTTTTAATAGGGGGTCTTGCTGTGTAGTTCATATTGGCCTTGAACTCACTATGTACCTAGGCTAGTCTTCAACTCATGGCAATCCCCTTGCCTCAGCTTCCTGAGTGCTATAATTACAGGTGTGTGCCACCACACACAAGGCTAAAATGTTTTACTTATAGATTTCTTTTGTTTTTATATTAAGGGACAAAAACATACTTTACATACTTTGTACAGGAAAAACCGTTTCACTAGTGATTTGAAAAAAAAATGTTTAAAGCCAGGTGAGTGGTGGGTGTATGCCTACAATCCCAGCACTCAAAAGACTGCGGCAAGACAGTTTTGAGTTCAAGGACAGCCCGAACTACATAGGAGACCTTATTTCAAAAACAAAACCAAAGTAATCTTATTAAAATATAACTATAAAGATGAAAAGTAGATTCTCAAAGTAGATAGTTTTCTTTTTCAAAACTATCAAAATAGTAACTTACTTAGAAAGAACTCCTCGAAGTCAGTTTTCTCCACACAGCTAGTGTACATGCGCAGGGCTGCAATCTTAATCTTCTAGACAAAGAAAATAAAACCAAACTCAAAACATGACCAAGTGGATGTTCTACTGTCATTAGATATGAGATATAGAATCCTACATTTCTTCAACTAGAAGGGTCCAAAGGTGTCTTTGTCTCCAGGCAATTTAAACTCACACAGGAAATTTTCCTTTCGTAAAGCTAGCCATTCATTATGGACTTTATGAAATGTTCACATTTTAGGGTTTTATATGAAAATGTTGGAAGTTTTTCCAATATTTAAATAAAATCTGTCTTTAATTCCAAATCATATTCACCACATTTGCTCAGCATTATCCACGTTAACTCTTTGTATTCTCAAGTCCCCTTTATTAAATAACTGCCCATACTTCTGTCCAAAATCAACAAAAACCTTCAAATCTTTTTAATCTTTCTTCAGAAGCACTACTAGTCTAAAAGTGTTGTTGCTTTTTTAGGGCTTGTACCTTTTTCCATACTGTCTTTAGTTTTAATAGTTTGTGTTTAAACACGTAATACTGTATATTCAAACAAAAGTGTCTAATGAACATTAAAGACAACCTTGTACTTCACCAGATGAGACAGTCTATTTCCAACGCACTAACAATTCTCTCAGAACTTTGATGAGCGGTCATTTTACTTTATTCACTGAACGGTATTTGTGTGACTTGTTTATTTTATGGTATGTAAATTATACCTTAATAAAAATAAAACTAAAACTAAAAATTAGAAGTTTAATTATAAGCCTGAAGATCAACTCAGTGCTATAGGGAACAGGTATTTCAAGGACTTTTCCAATGTTTCAATAAGGAATGGTGCACCAAGGTGCACACCTGTACTCCCTGCACTCTGGTAGGCAGAGCAGAAGGACCACAAGTTTGAGCCCAGCCTTGTATAACTTAGAAACTTAGCAAAACCATGTCCCCCCACCCCAAAAAAGAGCTAAAGATACAACTCAGTGCCCTGAGTTCAATCCCTAGTACTGTAAAAACAAACAAACAAGATCATTAAGGATGTAATGAAACACATTAGCACATCAATAAAAGGCTTTTAGGAGTTAGTTGTTTATTCCCTAAATTGACAAGGAAAATTACAAACTCAAGTATGTATATTAAAAACAAAAATGCACAGACTAAAAATGGCACAGCTATGTAGACATTACTAGAGCTGTTACAAAGTTTCACCAATGAGAAACTACACCCAATACTATAAAACATTCGTATTTTCTATATTCTCTATATGCTCTGTTTCTATATTCTCTAGAGTCCAATCAACTGTGTCTCTGATGAACTTTCTTATATACAGTAAGTTAAGAAAGACTTATAACTCTGGTTGTAATTAAGATTTGCTTTGATATCTATTATATCACCAAAGCTTTTAATCTAAAAATCAGATAGGAGCTGGGCCTGGTGGTACACAGCTGTAATCCCAGTACTCAGGAGGCTGAGGCAGAAAGACTGCTGCAAGTTTGAGGCCAGCCTCAGCTACAAAGTGAATTCAAGCCTTTCAAAAAAAAAAAAAAAAAACAAAAACAAAAAAATTCAAGGCTAGCCAAACCGCATAATAAGACCCTACATAAAAGGCAAAAAAAATTTTTTTAAATAAAAATCAGGGGGAAAGTGAATATATATATCACATTGAATTCAGATTTGCCTATTTGGGAAGTAAGCCAGCATTTAGAAGACTACACTTAAACAAAATCTATGGTAAACATTAAAAAAAAGAACAAATCAAGCTTAAAAGCAAACAGAAAGAATACCATAAATCAATAAACCTGAAAAGAGAAAAATACAGAAAATCAAAGAAGCTAGTTCTTTAAAATACCAATTGCCATGCATGGTGGTGTACCCTTTGTTGAACTTGAACTTGCTTATGTAGCTCAGGCAGGCCTCTGCACCCCTCCCGTCTCAACCTCCTGAGTGTTGGGATTACAGGTATGTGACTCCATACCCAACCTTATTTCTATTTTTTTTTTTGGTCTTTTTGGGACAGTCTTGTAATGCAGTTCAGGTGGCCTTGAACTCACTTTGTAGCCCAGGATGGTCTCAACGCTCAGCAATCCTCCTGCCTCAGCATCCTGAGTGCTAGGATTACAGGCATGTGCCACCACGCCTGGATCTTTATTTCTATTACTGAGACCAAGAATTTAGGATATCCTTTAGCTCTTCACTTCCTTAGACAAATAATTTATTGAGTACCAAACTCAGTTCGTGGCACTGGTCTGGATACTAACAATACAGAGGTAAAACCAAGCAAACAAAAATTCCTTCCTTCATGGAGTTAATGGCCCAGTCCAACTACAGATAGACAATTTTAACTAAAATTCCTAATCACTCATTTCTTGATTTTTTTCTTAAATCCTGTAGTCCTAAAGTCCTCTAGGCTCACAATTAATCACTGTGTCTTTGGAAAGGCTGAAGTCTTTCCTTGAAGAGGAAGCTTTCCCCTCACAACATGTTCATTACAAATAATACCGACCTCACCAGATTGGCTGGTATATTTATACAGTGCTCATACTGTAGCAATTAGAAGCATTTTATAGTTCGCTTTTCCGGCAGCAAAGCCAAGCCTTTATATGTAGGTAAGCCATTTTCCTGGACAAATCTCTAAAGCAAGTCCCTGAAGACCATCACACAGGGACTGGAAATCACAACTGGAAAGAGCCTCTTGAAAAATAATGCATTAATATAAGTTTAGGAGGTAGGTGGACTAACTTTCCACCCACTCAACACAAGTTGTTCTGGTCCTTAGATGACTTAATGTTTATTTCATTCTAACTTTGGAAGCCTTCATCAGGCTACTTGACTAAAACAGAAGCACCTAGAATAGCTTTAGGAATGAAAATCTGCTCTCCTACTAACTGGTACATTTTGTGTCTTCCTACAGGATGAAAAATGAATGTAGTAAAAGGCTGACACTAACAGCTGTGTGAGAGTTGGAAGGGGCTTTTAGTCACTTGAAGCTTCTATTCTGTACTAGCATTCCTGACTCATGGTCCATGATCTGGGCCCCTGGTCCAAATATGATCAGTGACCTTGTAAGGCTCTCTATCCCACTAGAAGACAATTCTGGTGAGATCTTTGTTTTATAAGCCTTTCGCTCTCTTTTTATTTTTTATATTTTCCCATGAAATACTGAGAAGAGGCATTCTCTTTTCCAGGCCAAGCATCCTTATTTCCTGGAACCATTATTCATTCAAAACAGTTTGTGAAGCTTTTACAAGGTGCACTGTCTACCTCTGAATATATTCCAGGTTGACAGTATCCCTCAGAACAGGAATAAATTTTTGGCTTAATACTAAAACAGAAACTATTTACAGTATGTGGCTATGTCTGATAAGTGCTGTCCTTTTCCTACATGATATTGCTATAGAAATATGATGAAAAACAGAGCCAGGCATGGTGGCACACAGCTGTAATCCTCAAGAGGGTGAAGCTCCAGGTTCGGCATGAGTTCAAGGCCAGCCTGGGCTCCATAGGGAGTTCAAGACCAGACTGAACTATATGGCAACACCTGTCTCAAAAAAACAGCAAACAAAAACAAATATGATGAAAAAGAATAATTATTTTAAGATACTCAAACAGGGGCTGGGGATTTAGCTCAGTGGCAAAGCTCCTGCCTGGCAAGCGCAAGGTCGTGAGTTCGGTTCCCGGTACCAGAGAAAAACCAAAAAAAAAAAAAAAAAAAGATACTCAAACAGGTAAGGAAAAGCTACACTAAAAATCCTAAGTGACATCCTACAAAAAAAGGGAACTATATATGAAACATTAAGGAAAAGTAAAAAAAAGATAGTTGATACTACTGATATGGACATACAAACAGGCATTTTACTCCCTAATCAAATACATGTTGAAAACACAAAATAAAGAATTTTGTCAATGTAATCCAATAGAAGTGTCTAGCCACAGATTTCCAACACTGCCAAAAAGTGTTTTCCATTTTTTAAAATGGAAAGTTATACCTATATTTTATACCAAAAGCATACCAGAATGACATACTTTGATATTTAAAAATGGAATTATAGAAAGTAGATACTGCCACATGCAAAAAAATTTTTTAAATGAAATATTAGGGATTTAGATGAGGGCACAAAAGGAACCAAGAAAAATCAGAGGCTGGCCTAAGTTAAAACAGCAAAAACTCTTCCCAATGATTTAGTAATCTTCCGAGTGGTAGCCAGTTTTCCCTCTGCAATTATAAAAAAACAATAGACAAACCATATGGTAGCAACCAATTAGAGCCCAATCACCAAGAAATTAATAAAACAGTAAATATTTCTCTTTTCTTTCTTTTACTTCCTTCTTTTAATTTCTACTTTCCAAACAAAACACACTTAAAATTCTTAAATCCAAATGTCATAATCACCTTTTTTTAATATAGAGGAAAACACTATCATTAATGACATTATCAAATACATCAATAACTTATCAATTATCAAAGAATTAAGATAAAAAAGAAAAACTTAATGAACATTACTAATGTTTCCTTAATGATTTAGAAGGCACTTCATAACTTTAGGGTCTCATGAATATCATTATTTCTTAGGATTTGTGTTCTCTATACTTCAAAGCTCCTCACAAATAAAATGCTTACGGAACCTCTGTTGCCTTTTCACAATTTAGGCAAAAGATTATAGTCAGTCATCTATACTGTACTTGCTGCAGTGAAACCTATTAGCAGGATAAGCCATCATAAGAAGAAACCAAAAGTACCATCCACATTAACTTGAATCCAACTTTGTTAAAATAGTAACTGACAGAACTTGGTTGTTTTGAGCAAAATTATGATATTTTTCTGGTCTTTCCTACTGTTTTGTGTTGGTTTGCTTTGATATATAACTTATAAATAATTAAGTTAAAAAATAATAAATAAATAAGTTTATCCAATATGCCAGCAACTTGAAATAGCATAAAAGGTGCTGAGTTATAGGACAGAAATGGTAGTAACAGGTGATAAACAGGCTGAGAAGAACTGAACCACTACTGCTTTATTACTTTAATTCATTACATGTATTACTTAAAAGTCTAACAGTAATGTCTACCTCATGCATGCAAAGAAGATATTCATTCATTCCTAGCAATTACTTTATTAATAGGTACTGCTAGGCCAACAGTTGACTAGGAGTGATAAAGGTAGCAAATATTTCTCTATAATAGTTATAATAAGTCATAGGATCAATTTTAACAAAGCTATTTATTTGTAAAAGTTTAAAGTCACAACAATGACCTAGTGAAAATCACTAATGAGCTGGACATGGTGGCACATGCCTGTAATTCTAGCACTCAGGAGGCTGAGGCAGGAGGATTGCTGTGAGTTCAAGGCCAGCCTAAACTGCATAGTGAGACCCCATCTCATAAAAAAAAAAAAAAATCACTAATGAAATGGATTCATCAGAGAGCAATGCTTCCTAAAGAATGCTGCTCATCAGAACATCTAGTCCCTCTAATTCCTTAGAACTCATCTATACGGCAAATCATGTAGCAAGGGCCTGAGGAGTCCAGTCTTGTATGCCTGTCACTATAAGATACTTACAAGAAATGAGGATGGGAAAGTATTTCAGCCCCAAATGCTGAATAATAGAGCTAGGGATATAGCTCAGTGGCAATAGCGCCTGCTTGGCAAGCACAGGGTCATGAGTTCAATCCCTGGTACGGCAAAGAAAAAAAAAAAATGCTGTATAATAAATCTAACTTGGAAATGGGGGATGAAGGAGTACATTTTGTAGAAATTCTTAAAATAATGTATGAATTTCATAAAAGCAAAAAAAAATCTTTTAAAAAAACTATGAGACAAGCGAGGTATGGTGATGCATACCTATAATTCCTGCACTTAAGCTGAGGCAGGAGGATTACAAGTTCCAGTCCTACATGGACAAAGTAGCAAGACCCTCTCTCAAAATATATAAGGGGCTAGGGACACAGCTCAGTGCAAAGTCCCCAGTTTGATCCCCAATGGGAAAAGAAAAAATCTGTGAGAAATAAAAAGGACAAAAAATAAAAGGAAAAATAAGAACATGAAAGATTTTACCCATTTACTGTATTTCAAAGGTCCTGTGAATCCCATGGCTTCTATTATCTTCGTGAAGGCACCAACCTTTTCCTCAGCTGGCTGTGGGGAATCTTTGGTGGCTGGAAGCTATTTAACCAAAGAGAACGAAACCAAAGTTAACTGCAAAAATGTTTTTAACAGGAATGTTTTTACTCCTTGTGTGAGAATACTTACATTGTTTAGTATTTTTATTCCCCTAGAATTTTTAATTTTCAGTTTTTTAGGCATCGTATCACTAAATGCAAACACATTTGGCATGGTATCTAATAGATATTCCCCAAATTACAGAGCAAGACATACCCACTTCAGTGACCATGGGCTTATGAACCAATGTCTATGAAATCATATATTTGGAGTATCACAATAAAGGTTCTATTAGAAAGAGTACCCTTGCTGGGTGTGGTGGCACACACCTGTTAGCCCAGCACTTGGGAGGCTGAAGCAGCAGGATCGCTGAGAGTTCAAGACCAGCCTAGGCTACAAAGTGGATTCAAGACCAGCCTGAAGTGCACAGTGGAACCCTGTCTCAAACAGGAAAAAAAAAAATTTGCTGGCATGGTGCCACATCCCTGTAATCCCAGCTACTCGACAGGCTAAGGTAGGAGGATTACAAATTCAAAGCCAGTCTGGGCAACTTAGTGAGACTCTGTGTCAAGAATAAAAAAATAAGAAAAAATAAAAATTTTAAAGGCTGAGCTGGGCATGGTAGCATGTGCCTGTAATCTCAGCACTTGGGAGGCTGAGGCAGGATTGCCACGAGTTCAAGGTCAGCCTGGACTACACAGCAACACCCTGTCTCAAAAAAAAAAAAAAAAAAGAGGCTGGAAACATAGCTCAAAAGCAGAACACCCTTGACTATGATTTCTAGTATGGCATAAACAATACAAAATAAAAGGATATCTTGATCCCTGTTCGCTAAAGAAGAATTCTGAGAAGAGGAATGTTATTTATGGGTAGAAAAGGAAAAGGAGAGAAAAACACTATCTGAAAGCAGACAAAGGCCATCCAAAACCACAATCAACCTAAGCAAGCATGGAATAAACATATTTAAACTCTTATATTCTTCAGTATAACAAATTTTATTAATGAATATAGAACATATAGTTCTTGCAGTTTGAAAACAAACTAAGGAAAACCTGTTTGAATGCTAAGTCATTCTAAAGGAATATCTAACCAATAAAAAGTTCTCTTACATTACTACTTTTTTTGGCTTTTTCAACTGTATGTTTTTAGTACATTTTGCAGACATAATGATTACATTCATCTCAAGGAGGTGGTACATGTACATAACACACTTTAATTCTTTTTACTTCCCCTTCCACGCCCTCCCTTCCTGGCTACATTTTTCCCTCTACCCTCCCACTCCTCCCTCTATCTCCTTTTCCCCTATTACCTGTCTTTTATTTTGTTCTTTATTTATATTTTGGGTTTCCCACCTTTATTTTTAATGTGTATAAAATTCAGGCTTTTTTTCCTCTAAAGTGCTTTCCAAAAAAAAAGTACACTGAAAGAAACACACGACATAAGCTCAGAAGACTTCGGTTCACACACTCAGTGCGCCTGTTACTTTTATCCTTTGTGACCCTGGGCAAGTCACTTTCAGACTCTGACACTCACCTTCCACCCTTGCTTAAAATCCACATCTCATCTAGCTAACACTTCTGCTGGGATTCAAATAAGAATACCTATCGGAAAGCACTTTATAAACAGAAAGCTATAATAATTCTCACCTTATTTGTGATGTGATACTTCCTCCTCTGCTGCATGTCTACTCCAAGAATCTGTTCTGACCTACCACAGCTTAGGACCTGGCTCGTCTGGAGCCACTAAGGGATTTAAAAAAAAAAAAATGTAAGCAACAATGAATATTCACTCAGAGGGCAAATCTGAGCAGAGTTTCTTCAAAGTAAAGACTACAGGACTTATCCAACCACACTTAGCCCAGTTCCTGGTAGTCTGACTACCGAAAGGATCCAAGACCAGTACCTTGTACAGTGTCTGATACACAGCAAGCACTCAATAAATATACATTAAACACTTGAAGGAATAAAAGGATTCCACCCTGAAAGCATGGAACTAAATCTGAGTCAAACCTAGAAAACAGAATTATGGTATCTATTTAAATACTGGCAGGACTGCAACACATGGGGGAAAAAAAAAAACAATTTTTAAGTTTAAAACCGGCTTCTGGCTTTACCTACAGCTCAATGTGATGAGCAATTACTGAACCTCAGTTATAGCAAAGATTAAAGGTGATGACTATGTAAAGGGCCTCTCATAAAGCACGTACTCAACAACTGTATAGGTTTCCACCATCACTATCACCATCAACAACATCATTGCTCAGAGCATAAAACTGCATTCAAAAACAACTTGGTGGTAGGCATGGTGGCGCACGCCTGCAATCCCAGCATTCAAGAGGCTGATGGAGGAGGATCACCATGAGTTCCAGGGCAGCTTAGGCTACACAGTGAGTTGAAGGCCTGTCAGAACTGCATTGCGAGACCCTGTCTCAAAAGAAACAAAAACAAACAAACACCAACCTGGCAATATTAGAAGCCATTATTTACAATTTTAAGGTGCACTTTTTAATCCTAAGTGCTTGATATTTCCTCCTTTTTTTCTTTCTTCTCTTTTTTCTTCTAAGGATGCGCCATCACCAGCTGTGGTTCTGTCCTGCCATTATTCATGATTTTCACATTTCGTACTCTATGGAACTACTGAAGTACCTATGTATCTAGTACCACAGACAATATGGTTTTCCCACAATTATGTTTACCTATAATACACACTTTTTTACCTACTCTTGTCCTTCTCCACCCAAAAGGATTAACTCAACCCTTAAAGACTTATATTTTATTTGTTTAGCCAGGCATGGTGGCGCACGCCTGTAATCCCAGCACTGGGGAGGCTGAGGCAGTAGGACTGTTGCAAGTTTGAGGCCAGCCTGGGCTACAAAATGAGCTCAACACCAGTCTGAACTTCATAGCGGGACCCTGTCTCAAAAAGACAAAAAAAAAAAAAAAAAAATTAAATTTTATTTGTTTAAATCGAAAAGACATCAATAAATAACTCTTTATAAAAGAGAAAAAAATATCCTGGAATACCCAAATGTCACTCTTTCAGCTTTTCTGACCACCTTATCTAAAAAGTTTCCTTCTACCTAGTATGGTAGTTTATTCTCTACCATTGTAGTAGCCTGTTCATGTCTTTTAAAGTGCTTTGTGCAATGTATAATTACATATTTACTGATATATTTGTTCATTTTCTACCATCAGTACCAAGATACACAAGGATAAGCGCTAGGTATATTACCAGAATCACATACAGTTGCATATAGGAAACTCAAATATTTGATGAGGGGCTGGGGATTTAGCTCAGCTGCACAGCGCCTGCCTGGCAAGCTCAAGGTCATGAGTTCAATTCCCGGTACCAGAAAAAAAACAAACAAAAAAATAAAAATAAAAGAAATCAAATATTTGATGAATGAACAAACGCTACCACCTCTTTAACTTTTATTTCTGATTATTTCCTTCCTGTCCTTATTCACACACACATCATACATATATGCTTCATTGACCCAACCCGTACAAAGTGCTGAGGATATGCCAATCCTTATATATAGGGACAGAAACGGAATCTCCATCCTCAAGGAGCTCATAATCATGTGAAGAAAAAAGAAAGTTACCCTACAAGAAACAGAACCAATTATCATATTTTGTCAGCTACCACCAAAAAAAAAAAAAGAAGAAAAAAAACTTGCAAGTGTTAGCAAGAATTTAGAACAATAAAACTCTCATACACTGCTGGTGGGAGTACACAATGTGAATCACTTTGGGAAAATATCTAGCAGTATCTACTTAAGCAGCACTTAGGTACAACCTGTAAGACTTAGCCATTCCACTTCTAAGTATATACCCCAACAAAATGTATAGATATGGTCACCAAAACACACCCAAAAACATTATAACTCATAAACTTCCCGTCGGGCACGGTGGTGCGCGCCTGTAGTCCCAGCAACTTGGGAGGCTGAGGTGGGAGGATCGCTTGAGTCCAGGAGTTCTGGGCTGCAGTGCGCTATGCCGATGTGTCCACACTAAGTTCAGCATCAATATGGTGACCTTGACCTCCCGGGAGCGGGGGACCACCAGGTTGCCTAAGGAGGGGTGAACCGGCCCAGGTTGGAAATGGAGCAGGTCAAAACTCCCGTGCTGATCATAAACTTCCCAAGTGAAAACAACCCAAATATCCATCAACAGAATGAATGAACAAACTGTAGTATATCCATATACTAAAATACTATATAAGAAAAAACTATTACTACAAATAACAATATGGATGAATTTCTAAAACAAAGGTAAATGACAGCAGACAAACACAGAGACTATACAGTCTATTTTTATTTTATTTTCCTATTTGTTTTTACAGTCCTGAGGATGGAACTCAGGGTCTTGAACATACATACATACATACTTATTTACATATTTATTTATGCAAGGGATGGAACCCAGGGCCTTGCACACACTGGGCGAGTCCTCCACCACTGCACTACATCCCCAAACCCTTTAGATTGTTTAGAAGGCAAAGTAATCTATGGTATTCAAACTGAAGGCTACAGTTAACCTTGGTCAGGAGGAATGACTAGAAGGGTATCTGGGAAGCTTCTGTTGTCCTGTTTTCTATTTCTTAATGTGGATGCTAGATATGATTATAATAATTATAATATCATAATAATTCATTGAGTTGTACACTTATGATGCCTTTTTTGATATTTTTATTATACCTCAATAAAATGTACAAGAATGCTCAAAGATGTGAAACAGGCAGTATAAACAAAAGAAATGCGGATATGGAAAAGAATAACCTGGAGTCATTAGAAAATACTTCATAGAAAAGGGCAGGATAGGGGCTGGGGATTTAGCTCAGTGGCAAAAGCACCTGCCTGGCAAGCGCAAGGTCGTGAGTTCGGTTCCTGGTACTGGAGAAAAACCAAAAAAAAAGAAAAGGGCAGGATAGCCAGGCATGGTTGCACAAACCTGTAATCCCAGCACTTGGGAGGCCAAGGCAGAAGGATCACCATGAGTTTGAGGCCAGTCTGGACTACATGCTGAGCTCAAGGCCAGTGTGAACTACACAGACAGACCCTGTCAAGAAAGGAAGGAAGGAAGGAAGGAAGGAAGGACGGACGGACGGAAGGAAGGAAAGAAAGAAAGAAAGAAAGAAAGAAAGAAAGAAAGAAAGAAAGAGAAAGAAAGAAAAGAGAGAAAGAGAGGGAGGGAGGAAGGGAAGAAGGAAGGAAGGAAGGAAGAAAGGAAGGAAGGAAGGAAAGAGAAAAGCGCAGGATAAAGAAGTAAAATTAGAAGCAGGTGAGGAAGCATGATATGGTAAAAAAGAACACAAAGTGAGAGACTTGGATAGAAGCTCTAGTCTGCCTGTCTTATATGTTTTGAGGATCAAATAAAATAATGTATGTGAAAGAGATGTGCAAACTACAACATATAATATAGATGTAAAGATGTGTTCTGGACAACTGCAGTGATAAATTCTTGCAGATAGCCCCTTATTAACAGGAATATATAATATATTTTTTGCTTCCTAAAGATTCTCAAAGAAAGGGTGACAGAAGTCAGAGACTCGAGTAATTCTTAAATGTCATGGTGGGGGTGTGTGTGTTATAGTCTACTAAACTACAACTAGTCTATTAAACTAAACTACTAAACTATAACTAGTCTACTAAACTAAAACTATAAGGTCCACCAGGGCCCAGTCCATCTTATTCTTTTTATTTTCTGTCCTAGTGCTCAACACCATTCTGGGCATGGTGTCGGTACTTCAATAAAAACTAGGTAGATTTTTTTTTTTACTGTTTTCAAAGAGTTGGACAACTTGGAGAAGGTCCAAAAAAGAACCACAGGAATGATCAAAGGGATGAATAAAAGGTCCTAGAGGAAAGGTTAAAATGAATTGAAGTGTTTAGTTTGGAGAAAAGGCAACTTCAGAATTAAGCTTAGAATAACAACACTTGAGCTGGAAGAGAGCTCAGAGGTCTTCTAGTCCAAAATTTTCACTTCACAGATGAGGAAACTAAAATTAAAGGAGAGGTTGCAACATGGTTAGGGCTTTTTTCTCTTTTTTTTTCTTGTAAGTTTCACTTTATACAGTGAAGTGAAACTCACCCAAGTTGTATGAACATAAATAGCAACAAAACAGCAGTTACAACTCACTAGGAATTCCCTAAATTCCTGGTATATTCTTTGTGTTTTACTTATGTTATCTCCCAACAACCTTGTAAAGCAGATACTGTTTCTTTCCCACTCTAGAAATTAGGCCACTAAGGCTAAAAGAAAGTTCAAGAAGTAAAACATATATAAAACTATGGTCTTTACCCTATACCAAGCAACCTGAGCTCACCAACACAGGTTCAGACATCTTTATTTCTAAAACCATTTTCCAGTAAAAGGAACCAGAGCTCCTTGGAGAAACGATTGAATCTAGGGCAAGAGCAAAGAAAATACAGCATGAAACTGAAACATCTTGCAGTGCCAGGAAATAAGGGAGTATTTAAAAATGATGGGGACATGTAAAAAGGAACTTGAAGGAGCTCTCAAGAGCCAAAACTGGGACAATTCATTTAATGAAGAAAATAGCTAATTTGAAAATGGATTATAACTCATGGAGGAAAATAAATATCCATGAGCTCATATTGATTGATAATTGGGAAAATAAGTAAGGGGGAAGGAAATGACAGCTCCTCCTTTCAGAAGAACTCCAGTAACTCCAGTTAATAAATATAGGAATAGTGGAAAGAGAAAATCACTCCTAAGCAAACACTACAGTTGCAATCAAGAACTATCAACAGAATTATCATATAATACAGCAATCCAGTGCTGGGTATACACCCACAAGAGTTCAAAGCAGTTTCTCAAAGCTAGTATTTGCATACTCATATTCACTGCAGGGTTATTCTTTTTTTTTTTTTTTAGGGTTATTCATAATAGCCAAGAAGGAGAAGCAACTAAATGTCCACTGACCCAAACAGATAAAGAAAATGTGATATGTAAAAAAAAAAAAGTGATATATATTTATATAATATAAATATATTCCATATACTGCATATTATATATATATATATATATATATATATATGAATATTATACAGTCTTTAAAAAAACTGTCTTACACTATAACACAAATGAACCTTGAGGACATGATGCTGAAATAACTGGGTCACAGGAGGTTAAACACTTATGATTCTACTTAGATGAGGTATATATAGGAATCAAACTCTCTATTAAAAATAAGCTGCAGCCGGGCGTGGTGGTGCATGACTGTAATCCCAGCACTCGGGCGACTGAGGCAGGAGGATTGTTGTGAGTTCGAGACCAGCCTGGGCTACAAAGTGAGCTCAAGACCTGCCTGAACTGCATAGCAAGACCCTGCCTCAAAAAGACAAAAAAAAAAAAAAAAAAATGCTGAGCCAAGCATGGTGGCGCACCCTTGTAATCAGAACATTTGGGGAGGCTGAGGCAGGAGAATCATTGTGAGTTACAGGCCAGCCTGGGCTACAAAGTGAGTTCAGTTCAAGACCTGAACTGCACAGTGAGATCGTCTCAAAAAGACAAAAAAAAAAAAAAAGAAGCTAGGCATGGTGGTGCATACCTATACTGGATTGACAACTGGTGGTCAATTTATAACCCCCAGCTGAACTGAGTAAGCATGGTGCTGGGTGTGGGAGGCCCACTGAGGATTGTTGCCAGCAGCATAAAGGGCAAAACTGCAGAAGAAGTGAGGCTGTTGGGAGCTGAGAAAGGCTGTTGGGAGCTGGTAGAAGCTGTAAGGAGCTATTGGTTCTTTTGGAGGAGTTTGTCACGCTGGCTTTCCTGATGAACTTGGCTATTTTCATCCTCCAAGGAGCTCGGGACCTTCTTGGCACTGAGAATAGCTTCAGCTCACTTTCGGGGAGCTCTGGTCCTCACTTTGAGCATCGCTTCCTGGCTCTGCAGGAGAAGATGGTGCACTGCCAGTCTCCTGGAGAAGCTTGCTACATGGGCTTTCCTGATGGGAATTCAGCTGTCTTCACCACTGGAGGAGCTCGGGACCTCACTGTTGCTGAGGATGGCTGTGGTACTTTTCAGGGGAGCTCTAGTTCTTTCTTTGTGCGTCTCTTCCTGGCTCCAGTGTAGATCCCTCAGCCTGCTAGCACAGATCCTTCATCCTGCTGGTACAGACTTTCCAGATTCCACCACTAACCTTTGGGCCTCCCAGTGCAGGTCCATGAAATATGCCTGCACGAGATGCTGTCATGGGCTGTAGGCCTCCAGTTGGATTCGTGGGAGGCACTGTTATGGGCTCTAGGTATTCAGGTGGACTCACGCAGGACATTATCATGGCATCCAGGCCTTCAGCTGGATTCCTGGTCTATAGCATGTGGACAGATTTCCTGCACTCTCTTGTATATGATTCTTTGGGTGAATATTATAAATAATCTTATGAAATATGTGTCCTGTATTATATTATTGTTCACCCTGCAATATCTCCTAAACCATGACAATACCTATAATCTCAGCACTCAGGAGGCTGAGGCACGAGGATCACTGTGAGTTTAAGGCTGGCCTGGGCTCCATAGTGGGTTCAAGACCAGCCTAAACTGCATAGTGAGACCCTGTCTCAAAAAAACAAAATAAAATTTTAAAAATATGGTAAGGAAAAGCCTATAAAAAGGGAGGGGGTAATTTTTTTTTATAACAAAGGCTATCTAAACAATACAAATAATGTCTCCTTTAATAAAAGGAAAAAAGCACCAATATACTTAGTGGAAAGGTATTAAGGTACTTAAGGAAAAAAATTAGAATACATACATACATAGATTTGGAAAAGAGCCAGCAGAAATAAAAATATTGACATTTCAGATTTGAAGTCACGGTCATTTTTATTTCCTTTATTATTAAAATATTTGTAAGATATAACAAAAATCAGGAAAAATAAAAACCCCTCACAAGGGAGCTCCAAGGTTAACTACACTATAATAAATCATGCATCCAACGTTAGGTAACCCAAAGCCTCAAATAATGGTTTTTTGGATTTTATATTCATAAAAAGAAAAAGAAACATTTTTCGCTCCAAATAAACGCAGCACAAAGTAGCTTCGAAAAGAAACTGAAAAAAGTTAACTCTGAAATGAATGTCTGGAGAAATTCCCTAACAGTAAAAATCATCAGACTGTAACATGGTATCTTAGGCTAAGTTCCATCGCTGGGGTATTTAGAAGCAACGCCCTGGACACCATACTGTAGGAATCAGTCCTGAGCTGGCAGCACAGAGACCTACAGTGGTCTCATGAGGTTTTTCCATCGCACAATTTGGTTGACTAATCTATAAATATGTATTTGCACAGAAACATTAAAGTTTTCATACTAAGCCGAAGAAGAACAAATCTTACCTGGGAAGTGCCAGACAGAGTCCTGCCCCACAGCACTTGGGTAGGAGATAATGGTACCAATCGGCTGCATACTGGAACCCACTGGGAGGTGCTAGTCTGCCTCCCCTAGAAAGAAAGAAAAAAAAAAACCATGTCAGCAATCTGTACAGAGCAGCACAGTGCACCTGTGACACTGGGATATAAAAGTATATATTTGGTCTTCTTTTCTAGTTCCTGGCACAAAGCTCCAAGAACCCTTGGAATTTCTGAGTGACTGGAGTGTTTTGTTATTCATAATAAGCCCCAGCATTTATGCTTACAAGGTGCCTCTTAGTGGATGAGGGAGTGGGCTGGTTGCCAGAGGAACCAAACAAGTAAGTAAAGGGTTAGAACTTTCACCTCAATATTTAAACCTTACAGTCACTACCCAGTGACATAGGTATATTGTTATTACCCTACTTACACAGATAAGAAACCAAGCTATGCATAGGATAAGCAACTTTCCAAAAATCATATAGTTAATAAACAGCAGGTTTAGGATTGGGCCCCAGGAAGCCCAACCCCAGAATCTATGCTCATTAATGGGATGAAAGGGCTCAGGGATTATCTCCAAGATCCCTTCCAGCTCTAACACTAGAAGTATAACCAATGGCAGAGTCATGAATCAATTAAAACAGCATATTAGCTGGCTGTGGTAGAGTAACCCTATAAGCCCAGTTAGAGAGCAATTTGGCAAGATCATGTCCTAAAATAAAAAAGTTTTTAAACAACTGGGGATGTAGCTCCATGTGAAACCACACATTTAATCCCCAATGCCACTATATCTATAAATAAAATAAAACAACGTATTGTAGGAAAAGGTACTTGGAATTAGACAGCACCAAGTTGGTTCTGTGTTCCTGTGTTCATAAACTACGTATTAGATAACAACCTCAATGCGGCTTTGTCACTTCTTCTATAAACACCTACTTCTTATAATTACAAACAATTAACAAACATAACTTGCAATATGTCTAGCTTAGTATTAAGAGGAATCTGATCTCTACTTCCTTATGAGTAGGAAAGAAGGGTCAGGGTGGAGTAGGGAAAAGTATTAGAATTTTAAACCTACAAATGCTTTCTAAGGTGTTTCATGTCCTAAAATTGTGCAACTGTTTCTAATAGGCTACTCACAGCACTTTATATTTGAAATCAAATGTACAGCTAAATATATTTTATTTCAGCTTAAGTTTGATCTACTGGAATGGTTCCCAAATGACTGTCATTGCTATACTGTTTTATTAATACTGACAGATTTACCAGAATGATGTCAGGTGCTCTTTTCTAAAAATGTAAACACGGGTTAAAATAAAACTAGAGTCAGGGCCAAAGTGCGGAGGAAGAAGAGGATAGTACAAGTAGAAACCATGCAAACTTTGGAAATTTTTCTAAAAAAAATTTAAAAGAAAATTTTCTAAAGAATTTCATCATGTTATTTCCAATGTCAACAAAAATTTTCTTTGTAATTTGGGTTCTACTTAATCTTGGGCCAATATTTTAAGTCAGTTTTTATGAGAAGGAGAAATCAACTCTGTCCTTTCTTTCTCCAATCCTATAATTCTTGTACAAATACTTAATTGAAACTACTAAGGTACAGAGAAAGGATGTCTGAATCCCAAGCCTCTCATTAAATTGCTGTGTGACCTTGAAATAGTTACTCAACAAGCTGGGTCTTTGCTTTCCCTTATGGCAAATGGGAATAATAAAAACTATCTTATGGGAATTTTCCAAGGAACATCTGTAAAAGCACTCTGATAACAGAAAAATACATATAAAGACATCATTATCATTATGAACATTTTTAAAACTTTTTTGGGGGGGTGGTTTACTGGGAATCGAACTCAAGACCTTGCGCTTGCCAGGCAGGCACTTGTGCAACTGAGCTATATCCCCAACCCTTCATTATGAACATTTTTTTACTGAATTATGTAAGCTCCTCTTTCCCACGCACACTGTCAAAGCAGCAAAATCACCTTCTTAATATGTTGTTTTTTGTGGTTTTGTTTTAATTTTATTATTTTTTTTTTCTTTGACAGGGTCTCACTCTGTAGTCCTCTGTGGTCTTAAACTCACCACGCCCAGCAATATGTTGTTTTTTTTAACCCCAGCCCAGTAGCCCATGCCTGTAATCCCACTGTTCTGGCACGTTGAGGCAAAAGGATCAAGTTCAAGCCCAGCCAGTGCTAATTTAGTGACTCAGAGAGACCCTGTCTCAAAAAACACCTAGGGATATAGCTCAGTGTAAAGGTCCTAGGTTCCATTCCCAGTTTTTAAAAAAAGTTATTTTTAACCTGGCATACTGAACCACTGGTCTTGGGGGAAAGCCAGTGTTAGGCTCCTGCAAGCCACTGGTTGCAACATTTTTGTCAACCAATCAATACACAACATTGTTCAGTGTGTGTTTCTTTAATAGTTATTTACATTCATCTCACAGCCAATAGCATTGTAACTGATTCCTGAGCAAAACTAACTTACCACGCTTAAGACACATCACTGCCTTCTTGCACTTAACGCTAACCAAAACTTGAGCGCTACTTTTGGGGGCCATTTCACACAAGGAAGTGACCAAACCAAGCACAAAAACATGAAAAATATGGCACTAAATAGACCATGAAAAGGATATTTATTTACAACATGAAATCTGAAAAAAAGAAATCAGACTTGCCTTGTTTGGCATCAGCTGGGCATGTGTACATTAGTGACTCAAATTTCTCGGCCATCTGTACACATCTACAAATGACTGAAAGTGCTATGAGCTACCGGTTTGGAGGTTACAAATAAATTTCAGCAACTAGGTAAATTCACAGATACAGAATACATGAAAAAGACTGACTACAGTCACCAAATCTACTCTATAATTCCCCTGCCATATCTATATTCTGAATCCCATGGTGTCTAATTCAATTCCACAGTCCAGAGGCAGAGACAGATACTATTGTAACAAGTCTCCTACAAGTTATAATGTGACATGCAATGTCACCAGATGGGTCTCAGGAGGTCCCTCAAAGAGAGGACAGAGACCTCATCTCTCCCTGTGGAACTGGTTTGACTCTCATCATAGAAAAGTATTTCAGGATGTGTCAATGAGAGGCATAGGCTGACTTACCAGGCAGAGATAGAAAATAAGAAAAAACAGCCAGGTATGGTGGCTCTTGCCTGTAATGCGAGCACTCAGGAGGCTGAGGCACGTTCGAGACCACAAGTTCGAGGCCACAAGTTCGAGGCCACAAGTTCAAGGACAGCCTGGGCTACGTAATAAATTCAAGGTCAGCACAGCCTGAACTACAGAGTGAGACCCTATCTCAAAAAACAAAAGTAAGGAAACAAACAAACAAGAAAGAAAACAGAAAAGGAACTTCAGCCTGAGGAGTTAGAGAGGGCACAGGTCTGATGAGGATCAGACTGGCCCATTAACAAAAAAATGAGATCCAGTTGTATGAATTTACTGGAGTGAGCTGAGTCTTGAGGGTACAATGCCATCTCCAAAAGATGATTATTTCTACTGGGGGCTGCCTCGGTTTTGTAGAAGTCAACCTCCCAAGATGATCACAGGTTTAGGGCAGTGATGGCAAACTTTTTAGAGCTTTCAGTGATAAGAAACAGCCCACCGTGACACACATGCCACAGGTTCCCCACCACTGGTTGAGGGCAGAGGACTGGAGACTACTGTGCATTACTGATAGATGAATGTCCCAGTAAACCTTTTATCTTTGGTTCTCAGTCTTGAAGGGGGATAAGATAGGTTATGTAAATTTTAAGGATAACCAACCTTGTTTTGCCAACTTTTAGACAAACACACCATAAATTATTAGTTTGCCTATACGTAGAGCTAAGCAAGGACCTGACCCAAAGTGTTAAGGTAATAAACGAAGGGGAAAGCTTTGTTCTAATTCAGTTAACTATTGGGCATCTATAGGCCCAAATGAAGAGTCGCTATGTTTTAGCAAAATTGGTTTTTGTTTGTTCTGTGGTCCTGGGGATTGTACCCATGGCCTTCACATGGAGCAACATCCCCAGCCATTTTTTATTTTTTAGACAAAATCTTGTTAAATTGCTAAATTCAGGGTGGGCTTGAACTTGTGATCCTCTTGCCTCAGCTTCCCAGAGTACTAGGATTACAGGTGTGCACCCCCTTGCCCAGCTCCAAAAACTGCTTTTAAGTCCCTAATTATCTAAGAAGAAAACACAAATCACTCTCTTAATAACAGGTTGAGAGAGCCAGGTGTGGTGGCACACATCTGTAATCTCAGCACTCAAGAGGCTGAGGCAGGACAATCACTGAGAGTTCAAGGTCAGCCAGGGCTACCTAGTGTGTTCCAGACCAGCCTAAACTGCATAGTGAAACCCTGCCTCAAAAAGACAAAAAACAATAAATAAATAAATAGATAAACAAATAAAAAATAAATAAATAAATAACAGGTTGAGACCCAGAAGTTTGTCCTCTGTCCCCATGGTGGTCTCTGAGTGTCACTCCAAAAGGATACTTCCAGACAGGAGAAACAGAAAATATTCAACTATTCTTTCAAAAAGTATTAAGGCTACAGGTATAACTCAGTGGTAGACACAAGGTTAGCATATACAAGGCCCTAGATCCCTAGCACCAAAAGACAAAGATTTTTAAATTACTGAATATACTTCCTTTATTACTTTGTTGAAGGTGTCTAACCTGAGCTTTCAAAAGATTCACATATAGGAAAGATTTGCACAAATCAGTAAATATATTAAGGGTGAGATATACAGTTTCTATCAGACAAAGGAGTTAACAAATAAGGCAAAGGAGAAGGGAAAAATAAACCTTATGATATTGGATTGGATTACAGTAATTGGTGTAATATATACAGATAAAGAGATACATGTATGGTCATGTGTACATATATAAATACACATGTTTCCTACACATGTCCTAGTAGGGACTAGAAACAATGACACCTCAGTAGCAATAAGCACATGTAGCTCATAGATTTGGTTTCTAAATAGCAATATCCACTAGAAGGAACTAATCTTCTTAAGGAAAAGTTGGCTCCTCAGAGCCTTAGCATTATGTGATCAGCTTCAACATCCTTTCTGCTTTATCACCCTTACCTTAGTCTAGGTCTTCATCACTTCTTTAGGAGTCCCTAAGTAGCTTCTAACCCTGAGAACTCTAATCTCAGTCTGCTCTGCTTGATCCATTCACAACTGCTATGAAGAGTGTATAGCCTGTGTCTACATGACCTGCCAAAGCCTCAGGCAGTCATAGGTGGGGCTTTTTCAGAGGTGGCTGGATCTAGAGTGTGTGACGCTAGGACTGATTCATGGTGCAATGCTAGGATCAAGAGCACTAGGATTAAGGGTGCAAGTGCTACCTATCCTAAGTATCCTGGATAAGAATAAGGGATAGAAAGTGCTGTGGTCTTCCCTTGCTTGCTTTGCCACCTTCTGTCTGCCATGGACTGTTTCTCCTCTGCAAAGCCACACTGCCTTGGAGCCAGTCAATTATGGACTGAAACCTCTACAAACTGCGCTAAATAAACCTTTCCTCCTCCAACTTTGGCTGCCAGGTATTTTGTCCCAGAAATTAGAAAAGTAACAGAGATCTATGAAAAAAAAAAAAATCTAGTAGTGGGAATACAAGTATTTACTACATTAGCTTTTACTTTCAAAATGTTGTTTTAAATTTTTAATAAAGAAATGAAAAAAGAAACATAAGTCTTTCTCTGATCAGTTGTGCTTGTAAGAAGAGAACATGAGAAAATAATTACAAAGAGGCACAGAGAAATTTGTATATGTTCATTACCTACAGTACAATGACAGCTTTTCAGGTGTATACCTGCATCAAGCCAATTAAATGTTACAATTTATTGTATGTAGTTTATTTCTCAATTTAATGGAAAAAGATTAAATTAAGGAAGAACAGTACATGGACCCAAAAAAACTTCTAAAAATAAATCTACTCTTGTTTAAAATACTTCAAAGGCTCCCCCTCTGCCTCCAAGATAAACCTCAAACTCCTAACCATGACACCCAAGGAGTCTTAGGCCATTTCCCCACAAGTAGCCCCAACTCCAGTCAGACTTACTTACACCTTCTTTTCTAGCATTATTAAATAATCTAATTCTTCTCTTCTATGTCCTTCCTCATTCTCTAATATTCTCACTTAGAGATTTCTTCCTTTGTCTTCATGTGTCTTTCTACTCTGCTCTCATATCTTTATCTGTACCTGTTACAGACTTCTATCATAGCTTTCCAAGTGTTTGCATTTTTTTATCTCTTCTATTAGATTATAAACTTGAGTAACATTTGTTTTCAATGCGGTGCCATGAATAGTTCCTAGAATGCAGCAGACATTCAACAGTTGCTGAATTAAAAAGGAAAGAAATCTTTACACATATCTTTACACACATCACAGTACCTAGCCTAAATTCCTTTTCAGAGTGGTGGTCAATAAATACCTGCTCCATTCTGGCTTACTGCCACCATCAAGGAATCATTAAGGCATTTCCATTGCTTTATCACTATATTTTAACATATGCTCAGAAGACCTCAGCGAAGCAGAATATAGTGAAAAGGACTTTCCTTATTTAAATCTCCATTCCGTCTCCAAAAAGATAAACAAAAATGAACAGAAAAAAGACTCAGTTAATAGAGGGCAGAAGAAGAGATGGTCTTCATGAATGTTACCACCTAAGAAGAAATGAATCTAGCAGTCCACATGCTCAGGGACAGGAAGAAGATAGATGGAGCAGCTATTAACTTCCAAGACAAATCAAGGTGTTCATTTCCAGTCTCTAGCCCAGTAAACTTCACACACACACACACACACACACACACACACACACACATCCTTACCTTAAAAGCTAGGTAATTTAGGGCATAGGGTACAGCTCAGTGGGAGGGCACTGGCCTCGCACCATGCATGAGGTCTTGGGTTCCATCTCCAACATGGGAGAAAAAAAAAAACTAATATAGAACATACTAGCTGACATATCGCCAAATGCCCTCAAATCTCAATTAGTAAAAAAAAAAGCTCAATTAGTTTCTGACTTGCTGTCAACAGTTACTTCATCAAGAGAATTTTGTTGTAGGTTATAAAAACTACTCAAATACTTACTGAGCAGCATACTGCACTTTGCTGAGCTGGCAAGGAATACAAGTAAAACTGCAATGTTTCTAAATCATATATAAAGAGGCTAAAATCACAAGTGGTAAAACAACGCAAAAGACAGCCTGGCAGGAATATTCAGTATCTACTATGAAAAACAGTGCTCTTGAACCAGTTTGTTAAAGACTTGCAAAATTTTAAACTGTCCAGTTCCTACATGATTAGAAACTAAGATCTGTGTCCACCTAACCTTTTTTTTTCTACTGCCACTTTCTTTCTCCTTTAATTCCTAGAGATCAAATTATGCTAGAAAGAGTGAATTTCACGAGGAATGGACCCAAAATACAAGATGTACAATAGCTTTCACATATGGGTGCTAACAGTCCAGTAGTCTTTCTTTAGTTCATTCATTCATTCAACGAATATTGATTATATACCTAGAATGTGCCGGACATTGTACTAAGCAAAATCAAAACTACCTACATAACCCTGATTCTTCTGCACCTTTCTTTCAATCTAATACTGTAGTCTATATTCCACTTAAGCATAAAGAATTGACTACGGTCTGTAAAACAAACTCAAGCTCAGAAGCCAAAAGGACTGCAAAGAGATAAATGTCCTTGTTTTTCACATAGGGACAAGAAAGCCCCAAAGTGTCTCGCCCAAGGTCACACCGTGCAACAGAAGCAGACAGGGACTATAACCCACGTGTCCCGCAACTCCATCAGTGTCTCCTTCTCCTAAGAAGGGGTTACAGACGGAGATGGAGGAATAGCAAACCTCATCAAATAAAGGTCCACTGTCCCTCTCTCCTACAAAGAGGGAGACGCCAGATCCAAACCAGGAGCAGGAGAAGAGAGAAGCTGACTTAGTTTCCCCGCGGAAAGGCGGCCACGCAGCCAAGCGATCTCACAGGCGCCGCTTTTGCATCTTCTTGCAGCTTCTCCCGCCCCGCCCTCTCCGACTCCAACCCGGAGACCCGGCAGGCGACCATAGCAAATTACTCCTAGACTCACAAGAACGCGCACCAGCAACGCCATGTTCCTCAGCAACCATTTCCGGGTGAAGGGTGAGCTTCCGGAATCTCCGCGGCCACTACCCCTTCACTACAGTGTCCTTTTACCAAAGGGCGTCGGAAAACCCCGGCGCAGGCGCACAGACGCCCTTGTACGCATGCGCCCGCGCTTGCTGTCTGCGCGTGCGGGGGTCAAGCCAGGCTGTCTTCCTTCTAGCTGTGTTCTCCCAGCTGCGCGTCACAGTGGCTCCAAACCTCCACCAACGCCACCTCCTGACTTCGATTTCTCATATCCCAGTTTTTATCTTCTGCCTACCTAACCTGACTTCTCAGCAACCCTTTGCTAGAGTCGCTCCTTTCCAGACCTCCGGCGGAAGTACCCATTTTCAACGGGAACTTAAAGGGAACAGGACTTTGGTGAATCCCAATATTTAAAAAGAGCCTAAGAAGGAATTTGAGATAAAAACTTAAGAGAGCAGAGTCCTGAGCGTTGAGGGAAGAAAGCAATCACATGCTGATCTATAAAGCTTGAGGAAAGGAGGAACTCAGGGTTTGTGGTTGGTTAGTTGATTGGTTAGTGGAAACTTCTTTGAATATTTTTAGGAAAGGATTTAGTAAAGTTGAGGATACTGTATAAAGAATCAAGGATACAAGGAGTTTCCCGAGGAAGTGACCTTTTCTGAGGAGAATGGCCTTGGCTAGAGAACTCTTTTTGGTATCGCAGGAGAAATAGAAGAGAGAAAGTGTGAATGTCCCAAGGGTTGACTGGCAGCAGAAGGCCAGAATGTTTCAATTCCTTTAAGTTCATTCAGTAAAAATCCATCCAGGTTTCCCTATGTACTAGACCCAAAATAATATAGATACTGGCTTCATGGACTCAGACTGTTGGAGGAAACAGGAAAGTTTCGTCAACCAGTGAAAAAAACTCTGCTAAGTGTTATGAAGCAAACAGCTAATGTAGAGAGTAAGGCAGAGAACTTCTTTGGACTGTGTGGCCAAGTAAAGCCTGTGAGAGGTGACATGTAGGATGAGATCTAAAGGATGAGAAGGAGCTAGCCATGGAAGTGACTTTGTATGTGCTTTTTTAAAAAATGTAAATGTATGTTTGTAAATATATTTTCTTACTTGACAAATTGAGATTATATATGTGTGTATGTCACGATGGCTTGAAATGTGTATACACTGTAGAAACTAGGGGTGGTAGCGCACACCTGTAATCCCCACATTTGGGAGGCAGAGGCAGGAGGATTACTGCAAGTCTGAGGCCAGGCTGGGATGCATAGTGAGTTCAAGGCCAGCCTGAACTACACAGCAAAACGCTGTCTCAAGAAAAGAAAAAAAAAAAAAAGAAAGAAAGAAAGAAAGAAATGTGCATAAATTGTGGAATAGCTAAATTCAAATAATGTGTATATCATTTTTTTGTGAGGCAACACTTCAAATCTACTTGCTGATTTTCAAGTGTACGGTCTACAGTTATTAATTCTAGTCACCTAACTGAAATTTTGTATCCTTTAAGATCTCCCCAGATCCCTTCAATCTCCTGGTAACCGCCGTTCCACTTCCAACTTCTGTAAGTTCAACTTTTTTAGTTTTCACATATAGGTGAAATGGTACAAAAAGTTGTCTCTTTTGTGCCTAGCTTATCTCACTTAGCATAACATCCTCCCAGTTCATCCATGTTGTCACAAATGACAAAATTTCCTTTTTTCAGGCTGAAGAGTATTTCAGCGTGTATATATAGCCACATTTTGTTTAGATTAATTTTAGGTCTTGGCTATTATGAAATCCTGAACAAACATTGGAATGCAACTGTCTCTTCAACATACTGACTTTATCTCCCATAGATACAGACCCAGTAGAGGGATAGCTATATTATATGACAGTTCCATTTTCAATTTTTTGAGAAACTTCCATATAGCTTTCCATAATGGCTATATGAATTTACATTCTTACCCACAGAATGCAAGTAACTCTTTTTTCCATCCCCATCAGCACTTATAATAGCTGTTCTAACGGTAGTAGTATTCACCGTGGTTTTAATTTGCATTTCCTTTATGATTAATGATGAGAATTTGTTGTTGTTGTAGTTGTTGTTGTTGTTGTCTTTTTGAGGCAGGGTCTCGCTATGCAGTTCAGGCTGGCCTTGAGCTCACTTCATAGCCCAGGCCGGTCTTGAACTCACAACAATCCTCCTGCCTCAACCTCCTGAGTGCTGGGATTACAGGTGTGTGCCACCATGCCCAGCCAATGATGAGAGTTTTTATATGCCTATTGACCATTTGTATGTCTTCTCTGGAGAAATGTCTATTTTTAAAGATATTTTTCCCATTTTACATTTGCTTCTGTTTTGTTTTGTCCATTGGGGATTGAATACAGGACTTCACACATGCTAGCAAGCACTCTGCTGCTGAGCTACATCCCCATCCATCTTTGCCTTTTGTGTGGTGGTCGTGGTGGTGGTAGTACTGAGGATTGAACCCAGGGCCTTCACGCTGATATGCATCCCTAGCCCCCATTTCTTATTTTTTTGTTTTGAAACAAGGTGTTGCCAAATTGTCCAGGGTGGGTTAAAACTTGCAGTCCTCCTGCCTCAGTCTCCCAGAGCGTTAGGATTACAGCCATGCACCACCACACCTGGCTCTCTGACCATTATTAAGTCACATGAGTTATTTTCTTGTTATTGAGTTGTTTTGGTTCCTAATGTATTTAGTATATTAACCATCTATCAGATGTATGATTTACAAATATTTTCTCCCATCTCACAGATGGTCTCTTCACTCTGTTGACTATTTCATTTGTTGTGCAGAAGCTTTTTGAGTTTGATGTAATCCTGTATGTCTGTTTTCACTTTCATTCCGTATGCTTCTGGGTCATATCTAGAAAAATTTTTGCCCTGACTGAGGTCATGGAGCTTTCCCCCTACTTTTTCCTCTAGTAGTTTTAAAGTTTCTGGTGTGATGTTTAAGTCCTTAATACTTTTTTTTTTTTTTTTTTTGAGACAGGGTCTCATCAGGTTCCAGGCTGGCCTTGAGCTCATTATGTAGCCCAGGCTGGCCTCAAATTCACAATGATCCTCCTACCTCAGCCTCCCAAGCGGTGAGATTACAGCATGCACCACCATGCTACCATTTAATACATGTTGAATTGACTCCTATATATGAGATTGGCATTTTATTGTGAGATTGATACATAGTTAGATAAATAGATAGATGTCAGTTGTTCCATCATCATTTATTGAAGAAGCTAGTAGCAAGAGATTACAGGCATGCACCACCACACCTGGCTTGTTGTTTTTATACAGAATATAAAGATACCCCTCATTAAGCTTCCCTTTGAAAGCTTTTACAAGTCTAAATGAAGACGTTGTGCACACAGTAGCTTATATCTTCATATTGGAAACCCAGAGTGCAGTGCTTCTGCGCATAAATTAGGATGAATTTGATCACATATTAAAACAGGAATAAGAGAAATATTCTGGTTAAATTTAAGAAGCAAATGTGACACAAAAACTACCATCTTAGCTTTTCATTGCTGTAATAAAATACCTGAGGCAGTCTGACTTTGCAAAGGAAAGAGGTTTATTTATCTCACCATTTTGGGACTGAAGGGCATGGTACTGGAATTGGCTCTTCCAGTGAGGGCCCACTTGGTTGCATTACAGCACAGCAGATGGTGGTGGTGGGAGAATATGCAAGGAGCATGTGTGAGTGTCAGCAATCATGTTGCCAAAAGGAAGTCAGAGAGAAGGAAGTGAGGCCAGGCTCAAGCTTTTTATCAACACTCTTATGAAAACTACCTTAATCTCTTCGTAACAGTGACATCCTCGATTGACCCAAGGACCTTCCACTAAAGCACATCTCTTAAAGGTTCCATATCATCTCCCAATGATGTCACCCTGGGGACCAAACTTCCAACACATGAAATTTTGGGGCACATCCAAATATAGCACATACATACAAGTCAGTAATCCACACAAGATGATGGTTTAAAATGCTGGTAACAAGAGAAAAGATTTCAAGAGAAGATTGATATGCCATTTCTTTGCAGATGATCTATTTTCTCTGTGCAAAAGGGGCTAATTCTACTCAGAGGAGTGCCAGTGTTCTGTGATGTACTTGAGAAGAGAGGAGAAAGTTTACAGTTTAACAAAATGAAAGAAAAGGGGCCAGAGAAAAATGGAGAACCTAGCTAGACTTGGATACTCTTCCCTTTCAAATTTTTGTGTTGGTACATTTGCAATACATATTGAATACATTCATCAAGGGAAGTTGGTACATATACATGTCACATCTTAGTCCTTTTTACTTCCCTTTTGCTTTTTAATTTTTTGGTTTTTTTCTTTTTGAGACGGTCTCACTATGCAATTTAGGCTGGCCTGGAGCTCATTTTGTAGCCTAGGCTGGCCTCAAACTCACAACGAACCTCCTGCCTCAGCCTCCTGAGTGCTGGGATTATAGGTGTGCACCACCATGCCCAGCTTGCTTTTTAATTTAATTTTTAAAATTTTCTGTATTGGGGATTGAACCCAGGGGTTTTACGCTAAGCTCAATCTCCAGCCCTTTTTAAATTTTGAGACAGGGTCTTGCTAAGTTGCCCAGGCTAGGCTTAAATTTAACGATCTTCTTGCCTTAGATTCCTAGAGTGCTGTGATTACAGAATTACTTATTAATTTTGGGCCAGGGATGTAGCTCAGTGGCATAAGCGCTTGCCTGGCAAGCCTGAGGTCATGAGTTCGATTCCTGGTACCAAACACACACACACACACACACACACACACACACACAAAGAATTACTTATTAATTTAAAATTAGTAGGTGTTATGTGAGTACATTCTCTTTTCTAAAAATTGGCACATTGCAGATAACAGGTGCTTTTTACCACCACTTTAAATCCAGTCCTTTCCAGCCTCTTTAAAATTGAATTTTCTTCCAGGTCTTTTTTAAATTCATGTGCATGTTTACTTCCTCAAACAACATACCATTTTGTTGGTTGTAGGGTTTTTGTTCTTGTTGTTCGCAGTACTGAAGATGGAACACAGGGTTTCTGCATGCTAGGCAAGTGCTCTACCACCAAGCTACACACTAACTCCACTCATAGCACTCATCCCCACTCGGAGCGGGGAGGTGAATAGGGGAGATTGAACCTAGGTCCTCAAACACGC